AGGATCTGATGACTGTTGTGGGTTTTTCAGGCTCTTTGGCCGTGTTCTGAAGGTTGTTTTTCCTACCATTTCACCAGTCTCTGTGGCCGGCATCTTCAGAGGACAGGAGTCAGATTTTTTTTTTCATTATAACAAGGAGGGAACTTCAGACCGTCATAAACAGGATATTTGTGATGTGATGAGGTGTACTTTGTCAGGAAGCTCATGTGTGCCATACATTTGGAGCTGGTTGAAATGGAATCTTGGTTGAATAGAATTAGTTTGTCCCAGCTGTTTTGGGTCTTGTGCATTGTGCTTGGGCACAGTTTGTATTCATTGACTGATTGAAGCAAAGCTGAAAGCTGCTCTTGCTTTGCTCAGCACATTGCCTTGTGAATGATTGCCACTGATGTGCTTTTGTTTGTCCTGAAAAGCTGATAAGCAAGTCCAAGGTTACATCTGGAAGAAAGAAGTAGCTGAAGAAGAAGAAGGCCTTGTGGTGTTGCTTTCTAAGAGTGACTCGAAGATCTTCATTTTACCTTTTTTAAGAGATCCCATAGCCCTTTTTATCCCAATAGTGTATTTAGGTGAAGTCATGTGATAGTGTCATCTTACTGTTTCAGTGAACAGAATTTTAAATTCCTGGAATGGATACAATATATTGGTGTATCGGGTTACTACAATTTGACCAATACTCTTTTCATACCATGATCTTAAATTAGAGATGGAGATAAACATTGATATTTATATCTGGTAAATGTGTCTCTCAGTGCTGCATATTTAGTTATCCTGTTTTTTCTTTATGACAATCTTATGAGGTAGGTTAGGCTGGGAGATAATGGTAAGCCCAAGAGTCAGCCCATGGCTTTTACGGGCCAGATGGATTCTGAACCATGTCCTTCTTGGCTAAAATCCAACAACATATCTGTAAGAAAGCAATGGCTCTTCCTAAATATCAGTTTTATAGCTTTTAGGCATATTCAATGTTTTTGAAATGTGTCGTTCAATATTGAAATCACATCTATCATATTCAGTATAGCATACTTAAATATATATTAAAGCCATATAAAGCAGGCCTTTTAAGAGGTTTCAGAGCAGGTTCATAAAGAGTCATCTTTAAACCTGTTAGGAGAAAAAAGTGGTAGCTTGTCATATGAATTATTTACAGATGTGAAAGCTAGATAATGAAGTAAGATGATAAGAAAAAATGGATTTATTCTAAATGTGGAGAACTTTAGTACCATTCAACCATGAGAAGAATAAATATGTGGATTCATAGAATCATGAAGTTGGAATGGGTCTATAAGGCCATCATCTCCAAACCTCTGCTGAGTGCAGGAATACAAATCAAAGGATATCTGCCAGTTGGTTATCTAAATTTCTCTTGGATGCTTCCAGTGATGGAGCATTCACCACCTCTCAAGGCAATTCGTTCCATTACTGTATTGCTTTAACAGTTAGGAAGTTTTTCCTGATATTCAACCAATATCGGGGAAAACTTGAGCCCATTGTTATGTGTCCTGCAGTCCGGGATAATTGAGAACAGATCCTGTCCCTCTTCTTTATGACAGCTTTTCAAGTATTTTAAGAGTACTTTGGTATCTCCCTCAGTCCTCTTTTCAAAAGACTAAATGTGCCCAGTTATTTCAGTCTTTCCTCATAAGGCTTGGTTTCCAGCCCCTTGATCACCTGTGTTGCCCTCCTCTGAACTTCTTCCCATTTGTCAGCATGCTTCTTGAAGTGTGGTGTCCAGAATTGGACACAGTACTCAATATGAGGCCTAACCAGTGCTGAATAGAGGGAAACTACTACTTTACGGAATTTGGAGACTCAGCGTCCATTAAGGCAGCCTAAAATAGCATTTGCCTTTTTTGTAGCCACATCACACTGTTGGCTCATATTCAACTTATGATCTTCAATGATTCCAAGATCTTTTTCGCTTGCGGTATTGCTGAGCCAGGTATTCCCCATCTTGTAACTATGTTTTTGGTTTCTTCTTCTGAGGTGCAGTACTTTGCATTTATCCCTGTTGAATTTCATTCTGTTGTTTTCAGCCCAGTGCTCAAGCCTGTCTAGATCATTTTGAATGTTGCTTCTGTCTTCCAGGGTGTTAGCTATTCTCCCAATGTTGTGTCATCCACAAATTTGATTAGCATTCCTTGTATCCTCTGATCAAGGTCATTAATAAAAATCTTCAATAGCGCTGGGCCCAAGACTGAGTTCTGGGGTACCCCACTTGTTACCATCTCCCAGTTTAAGAAGGAGCCATTAATCATCACCCTCTGAGTATGATTCTGTAGCCAAACTGTGTATCCATCTGAAGAATCAGAGCATTATGTCACATGAAGAGATTACCAGTTTTGCAAGTCTTCAAGAAAAATAACAGAAGGTGACCATGAAAGCAAGTATGTTGTTCTGCTTTCTTTAGCTGTAAGTGCAGTAAAAGCTGATTCAATTATTATTGATTTCACTTTGTTCCTGCCACCACATATTATACTAAGTGAGCATGTTTTCCAAACCTTATCCAGAGTCAGTTTCCCAGTGCTTGGGGTTAACCGTGTCATAATGAGAGTTATATCAGTTTCAAATGGAGAAAAAGTTCAAATGAAGATTAAATAAGACTTTTTATATATTTTACTGTTTCAAGCATATCTTTAGTGACCTATGTCATTTGTAATGCACAGGGATCAGAATTACTTATGCCTACTGATGCAAGTCAAATGGTGTAAGTCAGTGTGACCAGTTGGCACTAGTTAAGACGTTGAGGCTTGTATTTGAGAATAAGTTGGCACTAGATATTGAAGTTAAGACAGTTTGTAAACTGGCTAGGCAGTCCATAAAGCTTCAATTCCTGTATAAAACCTTTTACTGTTCCTTAAAGAAGATATTGGGGTCAGACTAGTGAAAATGAGAAGTAAGTTTCCCAATTTGTGGTGGTAGCTACACATCATTTTGAACACAGGGATAGTGTAGGGATGCGGTAAAAGCAAGTGCAGCTGTTCCTTGGAATCAAAAGCTTAGGGGAACCAGAGGTGGTGTGCTTGTCCCGGTCTGCATGTATTGTCACAAAGGGCACAGTAGAACCCCAGTATCCACTGGATCAGTATCCATCAACGGTCACCTGCAGCCAGTGAAACCAGATCTCCAGAAGCTATTTAAATTCTGCAGATACATTCCTTGGATCTTTTCAGAATGCCTGGTGTAGAGTTTCACAGAGAAGCTAAGGGAGAATCCTTACTAGCTTGGTAAAGGGCGGGGGAGATTTCTTGAAGGAAAAAAAGTTCCTCTTTCCATACAAGTAAGGAATTAATAAATTAAACTTTACAAACAAAGTGTTAAAATCATAATGTTAAAGCAAAGTGTTTGCTCCATAAAACTGGATCATTTGAAGCAGGCCAGATCTTCAGAACGTCTGGAGTAAAGAAAGTTTCACAGAAAAGCTACAGGAGAATTGCCAGCTTGGTACTGTAGAAGGGAGGATGTTTCTGATACAAGTAATTAATGAATTAAAGTTTAAAAGCATATTTACTAGATGTTTGCTATGTGTTTTGCTACTGTCAGTGCTTTTTAAGCATCTTGGGGGGGGGCTTGGATCCAATCCCCTGCAGATACAGAGGTTCTACTATACTCTAGTTCTGGCATGATCATTTGATGGAGAGGATGATAAAATCAGCTTGAAAGCTAGTGTGTCATAATGTGTGAAAGACAGAGTGATAAATCAGAATAGCCAGTTAGACTCTCATCTTTGCTCTGCATTCATTTAGACAGGCTATACACTTTTAGCTTTGGTTCCCATTTACAATTTGGGATGGTAATACTAGCATATCTTAAGAGGTTGATGGAGAGAGTAGAACAAGGTTATATGTGTGAAATGCTTTGAACAGGGTTCCTAGTATCCTGTTGCATAGCTTCAACTGTGCAGCAATACTGAAGTCCATGACATTTTGCTACTCATTAAATATCCCACTTTTTTCATTTTTGGGGATCCATAACTCATGGATGATGGCACTAAGGTGTGTGCATCCTGAATTTTTTAAAGAAGGAACACAGTGGCAATCTCCCATGATGTTGATGTTGTTCCCATTGTGAAGGCAGAGCTACAAAACAGAACATTGCTCACTGAAACGTTATATACACAATAATGTACTTATTCAGACAAAATTCAAATAAACAACAACAACCAAAAACCTAGTGGCATCTAAAGACTGTGGAATGCCCTCCTCAGGGAGATTCTTCTGGAACCGACATTGATGACGTTTCGGCACCAGGTCAGAACCTTCCTGTTCCAGAAGGTTTTTAATTGAAAGAATATCAACTATGGGTCCTGATGCAATTTTTAGAGCACTGTGTTTTTGATTGTATTTTAATTGCTTTATCTTTTTATCTTTTTATTGTATTCAAATTGTTGTAAGCCTCCCAGAGATCTTTGGGTAGTGTGGGTGGCATATAAATTAAATTAAAATAAATAAATAAGTAAATATTTCAGTGTGAGCTTTTGCAAATAAATCCACAAGCTAATTCCTTTGCCAGACATGTACTTGTTGTCATTTATAGTTATAATTGTGAGTTTTAATGTTGCCATCTTAATGGCCAGTCAAGTCTCTCCACAAACTTTTCAACAAGAGAATCGGGATATGTTTAATTTGGTGTGACGCTATACCAGCTTATTTAATGTGGTATAAGTAGAGATGGTCTATTTAAAAATGAAACAAGAATTTGTTTGAAGTAAATGTTTTGGTGCACTTCTTTGCATTGATTTACTTGTGTTTGTTTGAATCTACACACAAACCACTTTGGTGTCACTGATCTCTCAGCAACCATCACTGTAGATATCCTTTCACGTTCTTCGTCATTCTTTACAGAAACAAAAGATTCTTGTAGTTTGACTTTTAGTTGCTATTATCGAGCTTACCCTAAGGTGCTCAGATGCATAAATACCTGAGACATGGACTGATAACAAACAAATATTGGCTGGACATTTTGTGATTTTCCTCTTTACTTCTTTTTTTCTTAAATTGCAGCAGACAGAAGGAGGGGCACAGACAGACGGCCAGCAGTCACAGACACAAAGCAGCGAGAATACCGAGAGCAAATCAACTCCCAAACGGCTGCATGTCTCCAACATTCCCTTCCGCTTTCGAGATCCTGACCTCCGACAGTTATTTGGGGTATGATAAAATATATTTTAAGAAGTGAAAGAATTGTTTTATGTCTTTTCATATACTTGTTTTTATTGTCATTTATTTATTAAACATTATTTTTAAAAGATCCAAACGAAGAGAGCCCTTAGTCACTGCCCTGTAGCCAGTGCCTGAGGCCTGCCTTTCTTAGTTTCTGCAATCTAATGGAAATTCCTTTGGCAGGTAACAGTTACTTGGGTGCACAATCTTTCCTTTTGCCCTGTTTTCCTTGTGGCCATAGAAGAATGTGCCATAGATGGTAAGAGTGAGTCACTGGGAATGAATGTTGTTGTTGTTGTTGTTTAGTCGTTAAGTCGTGTCCAACTCTTCGTGGCCCCATGGACCAGAACATGCCAGGCACTCCTGTCTTCCACCGCCTCCCAGAGTTTGATCAAATTCATGTTGGTAGCTTCAATGACACTGTCCAACCATTTCATCCTCTGTCGTCCCCATCTCCTCTTGCCGTCACACTTTCCCAACAGGAGGGTCTTTTCCAGGGAGTCTTCTCTTCTCAGGAGATGGCCAAAGTATTCAAGCCTCAGCTTCATGATCTATCCTTCCAGTGAGCACTCAGGATTGATTTCCTTCAAAATGGATAGGTTTGTTCTCTTTGCTGTCCAGGGGACTCTCAAGAGTCACCTGCAGCACCACAGTTCAAAACATCAGTTCTTCGGTGGTCAGCCTTCTTTATGGTCCAGCTCTCACTTCCATACATCGCTACTGGAAAATCCACAGCTTTGACTATGTGGACCTTTGTTGGCAAGGTGATGTCTCTGCTTTTTAAGATGCTGTTGAGATTTGTCATCACTTTCTTCCTAAGAAGCAGGCCTCTTTCAATCTTATGGCTGCTGTCACCATCTGCAATGATCATGCAGCCCAAGAAGGTAAAATCTGTCACTGCCTCCATATCTTCCCCTTCTATTTGCCAGGAGGTGATGGACTAGTGGCCATGATCTTAGTTTTTTTTGATGTTGATGGCTTCAGACCATTATTTGCACTCTCCTCACTTTCTGCCATCAGAGTGGTGTCATCTGCATATCAGAGCTTGTTGATATTTCTTCCAGCAATCTTAATTCCGGTTTGGGATTCCTCCAGTCCTGCCTTTCACATTATGGATTCTGCATATAAGTTAAATAAACCAGGGGACAATATACAGCCTTGTTATACTCATTTCCCAATTTTGAATCAATCAGTTGTTCCATATCCAATTCTAACTATTGCTTCCTGTCCCACATATAGTTTTCTCAGGAGAAAGATAAGGTGGTCAGGCACTCCCATTTCTTTAAGGACTTGCCATAGTTTGCTGTGATTCACACAGTCAAAGGCTTTTGCATAGTCAATGAAGCAGAAGTAGATGTTTTTCTGGAACTTTCTGTCTTTCTCCATAATGGAGGACATGTTAGCAATTTGGTCTCAAGTTTGTCTGCCGCTTCGAAATCCAGCTTGTACTTCTGGGAGTTCTTTCTCCGCATATTGCTGAAGCCTGCCTTGGAAGATTTTGAGCATAAAAGTAGTTGGAGCTTTCTTTGGTACTGCCCTTCTTTGGGATTGGGATGTAGACTGATCTTTTCCAGTCCTCTGGCCACTGCTGAGTTTTCCAAACTTGCTGGCATATTGAGTGTAGCACCTTAACTCTGTCATCTTTTAGTTCAACTGGAATGCCATCACCTCCACTGGCTTTGTTGTTAGCTGTGCTTTCTAAGGCCCATTTGACTTCACTGTCTAGGATGTCTGGCTCGAGGTCAGGAACCAGACTATCTGGGTTGTCCGGGTGCTGCATTTGTTGCTCTCAAACTAACAGCATATGGACCAAGGTGTGACAAATTACCAGCATGCATACAACATCAAGAATCACATTGTGTCAAAGCATTCCAAGTTGAGTATCCATTATCAAAAAATACATGCATATGATTATTTTTAAAGTTTGTATAAATTACCTGGCTTGTATTACTTTAATATTTTTCCCATTTACTAGAATTAATGGTTATTTGTCAATAAAAAAGTGTTTGTATCATTTAAAGTTCTGTTATGTTTTGAAAACAAAAGGATAAAGTTCAGACAACTGTATGAGTTGTTTTTTCAAAACTGAAACACCAGTATTCAGTTTTAATTGCAGTGTTGGCACTTCGAAGGAAATAATTTAGTTTTGTGTCGCTGTTTGGGCACTCGGGCTCAAAAAGGTTAGCCATCACTAGCTTAGTGTCTCTCACTAATTTGGTGACCA